AAAATTATGCACCTACTACTGATTTCCAGGCTAAATTTATTCATGGTGAGTTTATACCCATCTGTCCTTGTGTCCTTTCGCTTAAGGAGCTCCTCTCTCTTTCTGATCGTTACCTGCTGGACATGCTACTGAAGTTGTGTCCCTCTTGTTTCCCTTTCACCCAGGCTGCTTCGCAAGGCTGGGAGTCTCCATGGCAGCCTCTGCGTGGCACTGGCCTCCAAAGCCTGTGGAGAAAAGGCCTTCTTCCCTGGTGCCGAAACTTGGCTCTGCTCGTCCTCTCCGGTATTGGGTGGTAAAAAGTCAATTGACAAAAGAGCAGAAGCTTTCCTATGACTACATGGCAACTAACTGGAGAATCAGGATGACTACTTAAAGCCCTGGAGTCCCATCTGCTGGGAAGGCTCTGTTTTTAGGAGTTGGAAGAGTGCTTGGCACCTCCCCATAGGCACCCAGCTGGGTGCCGTTGCGGGACCTGTGATGGGCCACCTCCGTGACACGTCGTCTGTTGTGGAAAGGTGCCGTTGGCCCCACTCACCAATTCGGGTACATGATGGCAGGTCAGGGAAGGCCCGGCCTTTCCGGAGGAGGGGGAATGCTGTCAGCACAGGAGCGAGCAAACTCCTGGGAAAAACACACTGGAGGAAGGAAGGCTCTTGAATCGGCAAGGGCTATGAACTCGAGGGGCAAACACGTCATTGCTTCCACTCGCAGGTGAAATTGGGAAGTGACAAGCAGGGAACATAAAGCCATAATTACAAGCAAATTAACTGTGTTTCTAGGAACTGTAGGAAGATTTCAGTGAAGGAGATGGCAAAGGTTTCAGTAGCTTCTCAGAGTGTGTTCTCCTGTCATTGTGAAAAACCTGGAAACTCAGAGTCTCTGAAAGGGTAATTCTGACACTGCTAGCAAGAACGCTTTTTAACATTTCAGAGCGAGGACAGGTGGGTTACACAAAATACCACAACCTTGCATTGTAGGAGAGAACTATTCGGGACTGATAACCTGCTGGGTTCATCTGTAGCATCTATCAAACTCTTACAAAAACTAAAGCCTAGCAAAATCCCTCCTCCTGTGTCATTCTTCCCTAAATGTTTTCTGTCAGTACATTTTGTTCTCCATTTTCCTTGGTACGTACTGAAGTGGGAGATTTTATAATGATTCACAGTGTTCTACTGAGCAGCTTCAAGCAGCAACCGGGGAGTCTGCTAAATAGGCATCCAGCCCGGAATATTTTGTACACTATCTAAACGCAGCACTGTAATTAAAAGACATGCTTGAAATAAATGACAGAGGGCTTTTTTTTTTTTTAATTTTTTTTTCCAAGGGAGACAGAAAGGGGAGGGGAGAAAAGTTGCACTGAAAAATCAAAAGGCACAACAAGCATATTTGAACAAATAGTATCAAACAATGAGGGCCGATGCAATTACTTTAAAATGCTAGATGTTCTGTTATCACCCAGGGAACTTTCCATCTGATTAAAAATAATTATTGCTGGCATTAAATCTGTTTAGAATTACTCTGCACAATTCATCTTCTATTGCACACTGCTACCATATGCCTAGTTTGTTGAGTGGAAAAATGTTTCTTTCGTTCGGATAAATAACGCTTTGTAAATATTTAGAGATGAATGTTCTGGATCACTGAACGACTATTTTTTTCTTACAATAAATATGTGCAAATGAGTTTGTTTTTGGCAGCAGCTCAGTTTGAGGCAGAAGCTATATGGGGCCAGATTAATCCCTATGTAGCTCAGCAGGGGCCATGCCAAGACGACTTGCGACAGAGGTGGGAGAAGGATCATTTCTGTTGCTGAGCAAGGGGGGGAAGAAACTACTCTTTAAAAAATTTAATTCCATTAAGAGCAGTATCTACAACACCTTTGGAAGGGCAGCTGTTGTCACAGGTATCTGGATGTTTGGCAAATGCCATGGACACTGGCTTGCTGCCACGGGTCTGCCCACCTCCACCGTGGTGCTGGAGCCCACCTCCAGTGGCCTCGGTCATGGTCGATGGGACCAGGCTGCATGGTTGCTGCCTGTGAAATTATTTGCAAATGCGTGACTGAAAGGCAGGTGAGGCCTTGCATCTTTGCCTTTTTACACATCAAAAGTGCTGTGAAGAAACCACTCAGTTTGGTGCCAAATAACATATTTACTGTATATATATGTAACCGTCAGCACGGCTGCTCGGGCTGGTTTTTGGTAATTCATAGAAAGGGAACACAGTGAACGCTGTGAGAGGGCGCACGCGTTGTTTACAGGAATGCAGTTTTTCCGTGTTGTTCTCAGTCCAGATGCTATAAACCAGATGCAAGCCAGCAAATTGGTCATCGAGGCCAACCAGGCCTCGGTCTCCATTCCTGGCTGGTTTAGTGCTCAGAGAAGCAACCGAGAGATAACTGGCTGTGGCAACGACCGGGACTTCAGCGAGACATTATTCCTCCACTCTTGAGACACCTCTCGAGGAACTGTCAGTCTTGGACAGGATCTCGGACAGGATCTCCCATAACTGGATTTCCTTCCCTGGTGATAAGCACAGGAAGGCGGACGCAAGTCCCTGACCTGCTGGTTGTCTTCATCAAGGTACTGAGACCACTTCAGCTCAGTCTCCTCTTTCTTTCTGGCAATTTAAAGCCAGTGAAAAATCTTTCCCTGGCCTGTCTAGGGCTGACCGTCTCAGTAAACACCGTTTGGATGTATTTGCTTTGCATTCGATTAAAACATGAAGGCAAACAATGGGTATTAATGATTTTGTTCGTTTATGATGACAATACGTTTTTAGAGTCCTCCAATTGAT